ATCTTTACCTCTTGCTAGTATGATCTCTGTGTGGGAATGTTCCTCAGCTTTGTTTGCTGAAGTGGTCTCTGCTTCAGAGTGTCTTTGGGGGTACTGTTTAACTGTGTCCTCTGTTTTGAACTCCACTCTCACAAGGGAGCCCTTTCAATGTGTGCTTGAGTCTTAACGTTAAAGATATAAACAAAAGAAAGGGGCAGAAGAGGCAGAAACTGGCTGATTGACTGTCCACTTATTTTTGTGTTACTGGAAACAGGAACCTTGGGTCCCCCAAACTGAGCTTCAGTGAAATTTGAAAGAAGCTGAGAAGAAATACAAAGGATTCAACAATTCCAGGGGCAGCTCAGAGAGACAGGACTAGATAGGAGTTCAAGGAAAAGGGAGGAGAGATGTAAGACTCCCCAACCAAAAACCCACCACATAGAGCCCTTGCCATCTCTGGCAGGAGCTAGAACATGATATTCTCTTCACTCCTTGGGAATTGTTTGTTCTGCTCAGCTTTCAGATAGCCATCAGTCTACTCAAGGGATTCCAACGGGATGCTAATGAAGACATTCTGTCTTTACAACTGAAAGACTTAAACATTTTTTTCTTAACTTGGATGTTCCCTCTAATAAAAAGCATTATTATTGAAAAGCAATGATCTGTAGTGAAACAACAAAAAAAAAGTCTCTCCTAGTATTTGAAATGTTTCTTTCAGTGATCGCTTTCTAAATGGGAGAAGGGTGTGGCCACTCAGAGCACCGGGGAAGCTTACAAGGTCCCGGTCTCTGGTCTCTTTCTTGGGAGCTGCCCCTTTACCTACAATGAGGTACCTGCAATGGTACCTCAGCTGTTTACTTGTAAGAATGAAGCCTGAGCTGCTTTTATGCAAAATGCCCTAGGGGAAGCCAGCCAGAGATGAAAGGACCAAGCTCTAAGGAAAGGTCAGTGGAAGCATGAGGGTAGTAGCAGTCATGAGGTTGCTTCCTCTGGAATGCTCACAGTTAACATGAGGGTATTTCTGGGCGCTTTACTCATAGGGAGGCTTCCTCACTCATGCCTTTAAGCTCTCCTCTTTAGTCACTGGAAGAATTTAAGAATTCTGCTTAACTCTTCCACTCAGACATTTTATGTCCTCACCCAGACTCTCTCATTACTTTCAAATTTTTAAAATATGGAGCCCCAAACTAAAGGACTACAAAACCCCAATAAAATAGCCCACATCTTTTTTTTTTTCCAAAGAGAAGGGTGGTACAGTCAGAGCCCTTCTGTCCTGAAAGGGTGGGAGAAGACCCTTGATGTGGGTGAAGAACATGGAAATGAGTCCAGGGAGGAGCTAGGAAAGCCAGCTACTTGGACCAGGTTACCTTGGTTCACTCAGAAACACCCCTGAGCCCCAACTCAAGCTTCCTTTAGGAGCTTGCTGTAACAGTCCCTGGGTGCTGACCTTGGAAGGGACTTAAGTTAAGTGCCTCTGAGTCTTCCAACTGCTGAGTACTTCCCATGTTAGTCATCTCTTGGTTTGTGGGGTTCTCTGTGAGGAAGAGGGGAAATTTGTTCCTGATTACAGGGGTATTGGCCTTTCTCAAGATGAAGCATTTACTTGCTGTCTGGTGATGTTAAAGGCAGAGAGCCCTAGGATAAAAGACAGAGAAGAGGCTCTCCTATTTATATCAAAATGAGAGGCGCTCAAACCAGGATGGACCACGGCAGCATTACCCTGGGTCTTAGAGAATGTGGCAGAGCATTGCATCTTAAGAGATCATTTGGGATGCCATGGTTTGTAGCTGCTCTAGTGGAAGACCCACAGGGTGTTAACTGGAGTAGGGAGACCCTATTACTCAGGGAAGCAGTCAGAGCTGGGTTGGGACAGCACCCAATGCTAATGGACTAAAGTACTGAGCAACTCCTGTATTAAAATCAGTACTTGGCCTTGGGGCGGTTCCCTGTACAGGAGGTTCAAGGAAGAACAGGGAGGAAGCTAGCTGCCAGGGGGTGGCACAGTCAGCATATAGACATGCACTGGGGTGGGAGTGGGGGTGGGGTGGTACATGAGCACTATAGACCTTAGGGATGGAATGGCCGGGTAGTGGACCCAGTGGGAGAGGAGTTGAGCCCAAGAGCACAGACTTTGTCTGTCAGCAACTCCTGCTTCCTTGGAAGTCCTCTGCCTTGAGCTGCAATATCAATTAAAAGTATTTCTCTTTCCAAATGTGGCACCACTCAGGTACCCCAAGCTCACTCCAGGGCTTTGGACTCCCAGCATGGAAGTTCCAGGGGCTGCCTCTGGCCACGCATGTTGCACAGGGTTGCAAAGTACCTTGGTCTGGGTGATTCTCTGTTTATCCTCTGTCCTCAAGTTTAAAACTATATTGAAAGAAGAAGGCAAGAAAGTATTTTCCTGAGGAAGCAACTGACACAAAAGCTTGACTTCATGGCACTAAGAACATTAGGGTGTCTCAGTACGGGGAAGGACAAAGTCATGTCCACACCATGCCCACACCTGAAGAGATGTATTCCACCGAGAAGTAAACGACCTACAGATACCTTCCTTGGTTTCTTCTACATTTTCTTCTACATTCAGGACCCCATCAGATCCCTGCTCCCTGCTAATCTCCCTTCAAGATTCAAATCCTCACTTGGCCAGTCATTGTGCGTATGTGATCAGTACCATTTTGACCAGTGGTGCCAGGAACAGGAGGATGCAGAGGTGAGATGATCAGAGATGAGAGAGACTCTCCCCCACTCCCCACCCTCTGAATAAATTCTAGGAAATAAATAAAGGCTCCATCTTCAACAGATCTGCAACTCCCTGCAAACAAATCCGGACAGAGGGTGAGGCACCCCAGTATCACATGACCTAATTTCTCTGACTTGGTTCTCAGGGAGTGCACAACCCGTCAGGGTCTCTGGCTGCTGAGAGGACCTAAAGAATCCTAAGGGGAAGTTGGAAAGAAGTATAGGCGGGATTGACAGATTTTGGACGACATCGCCTATCCTTGCTTTTAAATGTTTCACACGTGCACCAAAAACTCAAATGGAGGAAAGTAAACAAACAAGAAAGTAACAACAAAAGGAAAGAGTTTTACAGGCAAGATGGGCCTCAATTTCTGACTCCTCCTAGCAGGCCACCGGACTGCCTACGAAGTGCCATAAATAACCTATACCACCAATTAAGGTAAAATGCCCAAAGCCCGCCTCAAGAGAACTGAGGAGACCTGGGAAACTTGACTGTTCTTGCTTCTTTCTTCCTGATATGTGTATTTCTCTGAGGTGTTTGAAGTTTTGCTTGTAACAAAAAAAGAAAAGAAAAAAAAATCTGTACCGACAAAATAATAATAACAATAAAATAATCCAGTTAAAAAAAAAGTGTCAGCAAAGCCACGCTAACAGTCTCTTTTTGCTGCTTGTTCATTCTTCTCTGTGCATAATTTAAAAATCAAAGCACATTCACCCATGCACTTACTCACACACACAGCTTCCATCCCGCAAATCTGTGTTAAATAGATTTGTGTCTCTTTCCTTCCCAACCTTCAAATGTGCAAAAAAAAAAAAAAATCCTTCATAGCTGAGTTGCTCCCTCAACATGTACCTGAAGCCTGCCACGTCCTGTGACTTCATGGAAGAGAACAATACTCAGTGATAGAAATTCTACATGTCTCCACCTGGCACTCGATTGGCCAAAACCTTTGGTTTCTTTTTGTTTTGTTTTGTTTTTCATTACTCCTCCACATGTCCAATGCATCTTTTCCCAGCCTCCTCTTCCCGTTTGCTACATTGGTGTGTCTTTGCCATTTGTCCACATCAATGCCACATGGGGGCCTTCTGCTCTGGGTTGCCAAAGTTCAACTTTGGCAGGTACCATCCTGATTTCCTATGGATAGAAAAATGTTCTTCCCGTACATACTAACATTCAGTGAAGTATCCTGACACTGGAGAATGGACAGATGAGCCAGGGGACACAGAAAGGGACTGTCTCAACATCCTCCTACATGGGACAAGAAATCTTTCCATGTTTCCTGCTGATTTCTAGGTGCCTCCATGAACCCTGCTCTTTCATATGCAAAGGGGCTCATGTCCTTAAAGGTACAGGATATTACATGGACTCTGCTTAAAATGGTATAGCTCCTTTTCCGTGAGAGGCTCATTTTAGTGATGGACAGAAATGACAAGTGATGCATGGAGCATGAAGGAAGGCAAAACTGTGGAATGCTATTAACACCACCTTCTCCAATGCCTCTTTTGTATCCATGAGTACTGGACAACAACAAACCAGAGCTGCCAAAAGAGATTCCTGCTTATAGTGGAGACTGGATCACTCAGTATCTAAGATCCCTTCAAGACTTTGGGTTCCCAAGACCCACTAGTAGACCATGTCTTTTCATAACCACTTGTTACATTTCCGAGCACACATTTGCTTGACTGGCTAAAACAAATTGGCATATCAAAAGATGGAAAAACATAGATGCTAAGGCATGGTTAGTGGTATGCACTGTTCTCTGCATCCAGCCAGGTTCCTCTCTTGGCTCTCCAGTCCCTTCCAAGCACAAGCTCTTGGCTGAGGCTGGTTGGCATCTTGTTTTGTCTTGGTGAGGCTGTGCTTAAGAATCTTTCTTCCAATGATGACTTCAGAGGGTGTGAAGAAGAACCACTGAAGAGACAGTTGAGATGTTGATGAAACAATTCCCACAGAAGTCTAGACAGTCCAGTGACAAAGTCATCTGCATAGCAATGGTACCAGATTCTGCAGGAGGGGTAGGGCTGGGCTATCTGCCCTGGCTTTCTATGGAGTTCTCAAAGACAGTGAGGATGGAGCCTCGGAGACGGCTGGAGGTAGAATCTCCTAGATGCGCTCTGCGGTTCACGGTGAGCGTTGGTGATGGTGACAAAGGAGCATGGAGAAGCCTTCTCTAGACAACACACAAGGCTCTGGCAATGGCCCTTTGACTATGGTCATGACATATTTGAACTTGGGTAGGGTGAATAGAGAGCAGTAAGTGTTGCTTCTGGCATAGATGATTTCTCTCTCTCTCTCTCTCTCTCTCTCTCTCTCTCTCTCTCTCTCCATGTTACATTTCTGCTACTGGGAACCAGATTAGATGATGTAGGAGCATCTCTATGGTAGAATGTAACTGTTAGCTTTCCCGTTTGACTTTTCACAGGAAGGGAAGGAAGGTCTGTATGGACACTTGGAAGGTCTCCCAGGATATTAGAAGGGGACAGAAGGCTACTGGACAACAAACAGGTAGGCAGCAGCCCCTGGGAGAGCATCTTCAAACTTCTACTGGTCCCCACTCTAACATCTATAGGAGGCAAGGCCTTTATCTCAGTTACAAAGCACCCAGGCCCACTGCCTACTCCCTTGTTGTTGAGTGTGTGGAAAGGGATATCCAAGTGATGTCTCCTACTTCAGATAATACTGAGCTCACAGTTGCTTCTCAAAGCCAGGTTTTGGACCACAGTAGGGATTCTCAAAGCAGAAGGTGAATTAGCAGCATAGTAGTGTTCTCTGTTCTCAGCTCCTCATCCTTATTTGAGCCCTGCTGCTGATGCATGGGGCCAGGAGCAGCTGGGAGGAAGAGTGTCACTCTGAGATCATCTGGTCAGGTCCCTCACCATGGGCCTGGCCATTCTTTGACTGACCGAGGGTCAGAGATGTGGTCCAATCACACTGGCAGAGCAACTGAAAGAGATGAGACTCTGGAAGGAGGGAGAGACAGAAGAGGCAGAAAAACGAAAGGAGAGACTGCGCTGCTCGGGGGTTGCTGCTGATGCCTGTCGGAACTTGCACTTGGTAAAGATGATAATCTAGACTGAGGCACGGCTTGGTGTGTCCCTCCCTCCAGGATGGCCCTGGAAGGACAGTTCTCAGCTGTCTAAGCTCATGAGGGTTATGACTTGTTCTAGTTTGTAAGCCAGTTTCTGCTTTCCACACTGGTCATCATGGTCCAGGGGTCCAAGGATCTGTGGAAGGATCAAAAAGAAAAGATTACTAGTCTGGGTATATGTGCCTGTTTCTAGGGTACACAAAGACAGTATGGATGTTGTCAGAGCATTAGTGTACCTGCTGCTGCTGATACTGCTGTGTAAGTAAGCAGCTTGAGTGACATGGGTAGGGTGAGAGTCATATGGACACCCATGTCATCAGCAGCACAGGACACTAACACCTACGCTGTCACGTCTGCATAGTGTGTGCATTCCATTATTTGTGAGGGAAGCCTGACAGGAGAAACTTTGCTGCAGATGCCTATGCAGACAAGCCCCTATCACCTAGTCTCAATGGCATCTGGGGCGTTCCATAGCTGTGCAAAAGTGAGGTGCTCAGGGGGAGCAGGATGTGCTTTTCTGTTATTAACAAATCCTACTTTTCCTTTAAAAATCAGGGAGTGTTTCTCCTAGGGCCCACATATCCACACTTAGAAAGACAGTCAGCTTAACTTTATCTGTTAAAATATCCCTAAAGGAACAAGGATGTAGTTGAATTGGTAATTGGCACATAGTAGCTAAGGTCTACCAAACCCATTTCTGAGGTCAGGTGGTTGACAATGATTGTGGAGTTTGTGGACATTTTTGAGACTCAGAACATGCAAGATTCAGCTCCACCAGCTGGGTGATCTGGGATGAAACATTATCTTTCTGAAAGATCATGACCCCTTCTCTGTAATCTACATCTGCTTTGCTTGGGTGCAGTGGGAAAAGCCCGGTCAGACACGTGAGCACCCTGGGCACAATACCTGCTCCACTGGAGGCATCAGACAAGCATGGTGGATGCTCTCTGGTCTGAAGGTTAGGGATGACAGTTGGTGAACAAAAATGCTGGCTAAGCTTAGGGAGACTTAGAGGCTTCTTGAGCTTTGGATTTGTGACTAGTTAATGCATTTTTAATTGGGGATGTCAATGCTAGAACCGCCCACTGAGTTGTCCAGGAATTGTTCTTTGCTGCTGTCATTACTAAAACTAGACAGGTGTTCTGGTAGGTGAAGAGATGGTCCTTTCCAAGGTGATGCAGGAGTCTTACAATGCTATATCACAGGATATCCTTATTAGCTTGCCTCCCATACGTTGGAACAATTTTCCCTGGACCATCATTGGAATGCAGGCTGGTGGCAGGGGTCCCTCTCCTAAGGGACTCAGTGGTGCTATCCATTAACAGGAGGGTCATGGAATATGTTCTTTATGGCCTGAAGGACACTGGGCTCTGGACCTGCTGGGGTACTTTAACAGGGTTTTTGAACTTCTTTGGCCAACAAAGCTATCAGAAAGAGCCTGGGCTTTGGCGCTTAGTATTACCTTCTGCTCCAAGAAGGGTGGTATGTTGTGCTTAGCCTCAGGGACTCTATCCTGACCCGCTTGGTCTGTACTACACAGCTAAGCAGCTCCCACAGCACCTTTATGCTAACCAGAACGAAGGCAGAAGCTACAGTGGCAGGCGCCCAGGTGGTAGTTTCCAATCAGGGAACACAACAATGAAAAACATGCTTTCTATCTCATTCCATTCTGGTTTTGTTCATTCCCCTTCTGAGCCGTTCCTTTTCTGTCCACCTATTTCACTCTCTTTTATTTGACTCCATCCTATTCCATTCAGTTTCTATTCTACTATGGTCTGTTCCACTCCACAGGATGCTATAGCACACTTTGCCATCCATAAGAGTGAGGAAGTCTTTCCTCAAAGAAAATCAGATCAGAGAGGAAAATGAAAAAAAAAATTAAAGGCAGTAATGGAGGGAAATAAGGTAGGTCTGATGGAGTACATTGATTCCTAGATACTCTGAAAGGTTGAGGCAGGAGGCAAGTTCAAGGTTAGGCTGGGTCCCAGGGGTACGAAGTGAATTCAGGATCAGTCTTGCCAGTTTATGGTGACTATCTCAAAATAAGAAGTAGTAGAACCCTTGCCTAGCATGTGGAAGACCTTGGATTCAGTCCCAGGCTGGGAGGTGGAGAGGAATAAATGAAACAGGTTTTTATACCTGAGCAGAATAGGAGTTGATGCAGAATAAACAGATTGGATCAGCCTCAGTGCCCATTTCAGTACCACAGTGCTAACCTAGGACTGGTTAATAGAATTTCCCTAAAAGATTCATGGAGCTGTTTCCATACATGAAGTATTCAGATACGGCCCCCATCTCCATGTCAATAAGTGCTGGCAGGGCAGGGCAATGCTTACCTCCTCACTGTATTTGCCCACATAGGAGAATATCTCTGAGAGCGCACTCATCGTGTTGAACTCATTCATGTGCATCCGTGACTGCTCAGCCAGATATGCATTCATGTCCTGGTCACTTATCGCTGGCATCTTCCCAATGTCTGAGTAATACCTGTGAGAGGAGGGAGGCAGAAAGGAGCTGGAATCATATACAGAGAGTATACAAGAGACAGAGAAGGTCCAAGAGCTGAGAGCCTATGCTGTGACCAGCTGGGTATCACGTTAATGTCCCATCTGGGCTTCCATGCCATAGCCAGGGAACACCCTCTACAGCTCTTATACAGCAGACACAAAGAAAAGGATATAAGGGGGTAGACAGAGAGGAACCAGAAGTCAGAGGGCTTCTGCCCAGATCATCTACTTTGTTCCCAGTTCCTGGCACAGGGCTCCAGCTTGCCTTGTGCCTCTTCAGCAGCGCTGGAGGTTCTTCTGAACAGTTGCTCTTCCCTGATGGCCTGTGCTCTCTGGAGGTTAGAAGAGAGAGAGGCAGAGGCTGCTGGGAGAGAGAGGCTGGCAGAAGGCAATCAGTCACTGTCACTTGCAGCTGTGCACTGCTGTCAACTGGTTAATTAGACGCCAGCATTTACATTTTTAATTTCTGCAATTTGACATTTTATGCACCAGACCTCTAAGTTCCTCACCAGAGGAGAACTGCACAGTTTTCTAATGAGGAAGTGAGAGGTCCCTGTGCTTCTAACATGGCTACTTTCTAATCCTTTATAATGTGCTGTGGGGTTGTAGGTGGCAGGAAAAAAGAAGAGGTAACTGGAAAGATGGGGAATTACTGGCAAGTCAAGAGACCCTACAGTTGGTGCCCCTAGTTACACCAAGACCCTGGGCTGCAGGACTGTTGCCATCAGCATAAGGAACTAGAATGGGGGAAGAGAGAAGAGATGCCAGGTCAGGACAAGGTAAGGCAAGTGAGGTACAGCATGGGGTTTAAAAAGGTAAACTCCTTCAGGGTTTTATGAGTACTGGTGACAGTGATGAGCCCTTAGACTCTAAGGGCTCAGGCTTTCTTCACAAGTGTCTCATTGGCTCTGCTCCGTGTCTTTCTCAGCTTATATCCCTTCCTGTTCTGACAGGCACTCCTGCCCCATCCCCTTGCCATTTCCCTGACTGATGCCTGTCCCCAACAGTGTCCAGTACTTGGGTGACAGGCTGTCATAAATGGTTCTTTAGGGCTCCTCAAGCCATCAGCTCCAGGCCTACCATAAATGACAGCTCAATTTGTGACCAGAGTCTTTCCAGGCAGGGCTGAGATGGCTTGCCTTGGGCCACAGTCTGCTGGGATTGCCACTACATCTTCAGGGAAGGAAGGGGTAGGGAGAAGACATCTGGTCTCTGGCCAGGGAGGGGGATGGTCAGAGGGAAACACTTGTGGCCTAAAACACCCATTCCCTGCAGCAGGCACGGTGCCCAGTGGCTGTTGAATGGATCCTGCTATGGCTGGCAAGGAGGTCTTGGCCCTTGGCCTGCTGTCTAGGCAAGAAGACAAAGGCTGAATGATGAGACATTTCAGGAAGCAGCTTGAGAACATTTGAAAGATGTGCTGCCCTGGACTCATCTGGACTCCTTCTTGCCCTTCACAACATTCTCTCCCATTCCCTTTCTGTCCTCAGACACCCATGGCCCTTGCATTTTTGACCTGCTTCATTTTGGTCATTTCCTCCACAAGACATTGTTCTTTTCAAGGCAGGCTCCACACCAAAATACTCATCTCAGTGCTCCAACACACAGGGTATGGGTGAGTCATGATGTTCCAGGTACTAAAGGTCCAGCAGGTGTCTCAATTCATTCCCACTAATAAACTATATCTAGATCTAATAAATGCCAACAGAAACACAGAGGTTTCACTGGTGAGTCCTAACCTTGCCATTGCTGAGGAGATTTGTGCCACTGTGCCCTCACAGATCCTGTAACTACCAAGCCAAATAGGTTTGGGAAGGAGAGGTTATCTTTGGGGTCCTGTTCTTGAGAAGCTTGAGCAGCCCTTTCTGTCACTTTCAGTGCTATGCCCAGCAGCTCCTGGAACATGGCTGTGTCCGAGGCTTTGGTCCAGAAAGTTCTACTCTGTCATCTGTAGAAAACCAGAGCCTCTGAGCAGGATGGAAAAAATGGAGGTTCTCACAGAAAGAACGGAACTGTCAACAGCAGTGAAGGCCCCTGCTGCTTCTGTTACCAGCCTGTGAAACTGTCAGGCATCTTACAAACAGCATAGGCTCCCTCTGCTGCCTTTATGGTCCCTGAGGAGCATAGTAGCCTAGGCTAGAGATCATTGTCTACACAGTAAAAAGACCCTTTCTACACCACAAACAGAAGATGCTCAGCATCTTTCCTTTGCAATCATTTGCCTCCTGCAGGGTGCTTGAGTAATGCAATTCTCCAAAGAGAATATTTAGGAAGTGTGTGTGTGTGTGTGTGTGTGTGTGTGTGTGTGTGTGTGTGTGTATGTGTGTGTGTGTATGTGTGTGTGTGTGTGTGTGCATGTGTGTGTGTGTGTGTGTGTGTGTGTGTGTGTGTGTGTCAGGGAAGGAGATGAGAGGGAGGTGTTAGAGGAATGGAAAAATAAGAGCGGAGAGGGCAAAATCAGACCAGAGACTGGAACCTTCTCATCTGAAGCTCACCAGTGACATGCTGGCTAGGATGTGCCTTGCAGTCTTCTCCCTCATGTGACATCAGGTCCCCTCTGTGTAGCCTCATCTCTCATAGTCCTCTTTGCCTTGAGGAGACTGGACGTGACCAGAACATGTCTGTGGTCCTCTGCTAGCCCCAGGTGAATCAACTACAGGGCCTTATCTTTGAAAGTTCTGGATGGGTGGAGGCAAGTGGCTACAGGCTACTCAGTTACCGGCCTCCTACCCTGGTCTCAGCCCCAGGCTATCTGCTATAAGCCGATTCAGTCTCTCTTCAGGGCTCAACTAATGCTTCCACCCCCTCCAGGGCTTTGGCCAGCCCATAGCTAGCCAGTCTGTCCTACCCCACCCCATCCCCCAGCCTAACCATGACCCTTATGGAGTCTTTTCTGCCTCACATACAGTTGTTTCCTTCCCACTCCTGCCACGCTGGCCTTCATGGTGGGACTTTAGTAGAGAGGACTTATCGATTGTTGAGACTGCACTAAAGCCCGAACAATGAACTCCAAACAAGTGTTCTCATCAGCTGACTGCACACGAAGAACAGAAAGGTCAGCCTTGACCCCCTTATTGAACTCACAGAATTTCTGCCTACAGTGAGCCCTCTCTTCACAGAGCCTCTGAAAGTCCCCTGGCTACTCCTTCCCCATACCAGTGTTGGCCAGCTCTGGGAACCTGGAAGGCTGGCTGCCATTTGCTCTGACAAGAAGGGGTTGGGTCCCACCCCTGGCTTCAGTGCACTCTCCTTGCTAAGCTTTGCCCAACTTAGGTGGCATGTAAGCCCCTGGGTCCCCCATCAGAGCTCAGGAAGTGCCTGTTCAGGGAAGGGCTCTGGATTCTTCCATGTTTGTGAATATGAGTTGGAGGGGTCGACAGAAGCAGAAAGTGATCTTTAACTGAGTGTTATCATCAGAGGACAGAAATGCAGATGAGAAAGTCATCTTGAGCCTCATGTTGTGATGCCTCCTGAATCTGGCTTTCAGAGGCCTCTGTGAATGGATGACTGAAGTCTCCAGACCCAGAAGAATGAAGGCCTCACTCCTTGTCTCCCCCTTCCCAACTCCAGCTTGTGGGTATTGTTAGATGCTCAGAGGTGAGAACTGCAAGGTGAAAGGGGTCAGGCCCAGTGTTTTCCATGTGTTCAGTACACCCAGAGTGGAGCCCACAGATGTATCATGTCAGCTTAGTGGGTATATGCATGAGAAACCAGCTGCGCAGCACCCCACACCCCACTGTGCTGCTTCAAGGGCCAGCTTTACTTTTGTCTGTAACTAAAGCGGGGATCTTGATGGCCACTGGCAGCTGTATGGCACAGAATCCATTTGGGTTCCTTCAAAGGTATATTTAAACGTTTACAACTTGTCACCTTCTTCATACTATGGTGCATGTCATAGATGACATTCAACATGTGGCATGCCCTGGAGCAGTCCCCAGTGAGCTAGCTGCAGCTCTTGTCTACTCAGCTCCTACGGACAAAGTCTGCACACAGTTAATGAGTGAGGCTCACATTGCTAGGGACAGCCTTGAGCTTTTCCCACGTAAAAATCTGAAGAAATCTGAGAATCAGAGGGTAATGGAGTACATATAACCAGAGGGCATGATACTCATGTAGAAAATGTTATAATAAAGCCTATTACTTTGTTTAATAAACATAAAAATTAGTCTTTAAACAAACAAACAAACAATCACAGAAAAACAAAACAGAAAAACAAAGAAAAGCCACACCAAATGAGGTAAAGCTGATCAGATACCAGGTTCAGGAGACTGAACTGTCAGGTTCTCTCAGTGAGGTCAATACAGCAGTCAGGGTTCTAAGGAAAGCAACAGGCTCTCCTCTCTGCTCAAACTACAAGCAAAACCCCAACTGGGACAGTGGAAGTGGGGAATCTTCAGGGAGTCGCCACCACCACCGTGACAAGGTATACAGAGGCGGAAGCGGAATGGAGGGCTGGAGAACGATTGGTGGGAGGATGTACGTTTGCATGCATGCATTGTGCACTGTGTGTATGGTATATTGTAAATGGACATGGATGCATATAGATATGTGTAGATATATGCTTGTGATTTTATGTATACATAGTATATACAAGTGTTCATGGTACCTATGCATGCATGCAATATTGTGAATACGGTCCATGCATTTGTTTGTTATACATGCTATGCATGCATATGTAGTATCTGTGTGTATGGTACATGTATGTGTTGTGTGTGTGTGTTAGCAGTGGGGAGAAGATCATGGACCACACCTCCTTCTGGCTTAAAAGACACTTTATCCGCTAAGATCCATGCTGTTCCATATAGGGAGGTGGGTCACATGGCAACTTCTGCTATGGTTACCGGTGCTTGCTCCAGTAAGGAGGCCCTGAGCATGGATGTTCCAGCTGCAGGATCAGCTGAGACAGTGACTAGTCTGGAAGCTGCAGCCTGCTTGCAGCGCAGCACTCCCTGGTCCATGGTCGTAGCCTGCTCCAGCCAGGCAGCCTCAGGTTTCCACGGGGCATGCTCACCTCTCCACCCAGTTCTTGTAGCTGGGAATGTCCTTGGCATACAGCAGCTTGTTGGAGGGAGAGTCCTTGCCCAGCCGGTGCTCTGATGTGGAACAAGAATCCATGAAGGTCTGGGCCACCACAGAGAGACAGGCATCCGTGATGCTGTTCTTATGGATGTCAAACACAAATTGAGGGTTCTTGATCATGTTCACCCAAAACCGCAGGGGCAGGCTGTGTGGAGGGAAGGAGCAGCTGGTCAGGGATGACGGGGCAGTGAGGTGTAGCCTGATGGAGAGTTCTGAGAAGGAATAACAGCTACACTTCACCGAACCCAGGAACCATCTGTGACTGCCGTGGGAGTCAAGGGTACAGGCAGAGAAGTGGGTCTATTCAGCATACAGGAAGTCAGCATGATTGAGGGTAGGGGTGCAGGCGCGATCATCTAGAGGTGCACCATTGGAGGAACTTGAAAGGATGTGATACCCAGTTGTAATGTGGGACTCTGAACCTTCCTTTTGGCATGAGCGTCAACCTATGCATGTTACAAAGCAGAATTCTTAATTCCTATCTGCCTTTGCTGGGATCCTTTCTTTGGTGAGCTTTCAGGAATCTAGATTTTTGTATCTGACTGCTTACTGGTTGGCCGAAGTCACACCCTCACTTGCTGTGTGGTGCCAAAGGCTACCTCCTGCCTGGTGACAAACCTGACACTGAGGGTGGATGTGACCAAGTGATCTTTTACCACCAAGCTGCACAGAGCACCAACTCCTTATCAAACTCAGAGTGTCCTATCCCTTCCCTCCTGTCTTCCAGTCAGTACCTACTACCTACCAAGAACTTGGCTAGCAACAGGGAATACTATGACTGGGACACATCCTTTGTCTCCAGAATCCTGCAGCCCAGGGTTATAGAGACATATGCAGCCAAATGCATGCAAACAACACTTCCTGCTGAGCACAGAGAATGTTGGACTCAGCTAGGTGCCAAATCTACCCAGAGAGCAGCCCCTGCAGAGGCTCCTCAGAGGGGATACTTGGGACACTTGACAAGTTTGTTCTTCACTGTTGTTGTTTTGTGTGTGTGTTTAAGGAGGAGTATACTTGTGTGTTTGTGCATGTGGAGACTAGAGGTCACCTTCTAGTGTCATTACTCAGAAGCCATCCACCTTGAATGTTTTAGTTTGTTCTTTTGAAACAGGGCTTCTCACTGGCTTGGCTAAACTGGCTGGCCAGAAAGCTTTGGAGACCCTCTTGTCTCAGTCTCTCCAGTGGTAACTTACAAGTGTACCACCACGACCAGCTTTTTCTATAGGTGCTGGGGCTTGAACTCAGGCCCTTGCTTATGCGTGGCAAGCACTTTACAAGTGAACCATCTCCCCAGTTCCCCATCTTCCCAGCTCCGCATTTCCCCATTTCTCATGTAGTCCAGGCTGTCCTTAAATTTACTATGTAGCTGAGGATCCTTCTGCCTCTAATTCCTAAACACTGGGGTTACATGTGTGCACCACGACACACAATTGTATGTTGTACTGCAGATCAAATCTAGGGCTCAAACATGCTCAGGCCCATGCTTGACTTATTTTATTTTAAAACAAAGGTGTATTCATTAGGTGGGCTGCAGGTAGGGATCCACATACAGACACAAAGAGAAAATTACACAGTGTGGCCTGGTTCTGTAGTCACTGAGTTTGCTAGACAGAAGAAGACCCGCAGGAGGAGGACCGTCCCGAAGGACACCTCTCTGGGCTGTGCTTTTCCTGCTCATTCTACTCTGCAGCTCCCACAAGCCTGCCAAGCTGCTGCTAAGGAGGAGGACAGTGCTGGCAGGGCTGCTTCTCTCTCTTTGCTCGCACCTCTTTGCCTCCTGCCTCTTCCCCTGATGTTTTATTGTTGTTTTGGTGGCTGTGCTCACGGTTGGTGATAGTTACACTGCCTGCGTGTGTTTGGCCTGCCTTTTAGAACTTAACATCTTTGAATTACATTATTTCAAGGCATCAGATACAATATTTTCTCTTGTCCTATCTGCCAGCAGCCAGTCTGTATAATACAAACAACAAACACTATAAATACGGGAAAACCTGACATTCATGGATGCCAACCAATCAAAAGCATTTATTAAGTCTCCACAATGAGTGTCACAAAAGGTTTGGACAGGCCCACTGAGGTTTGCTAATATTTGTTGTCTGTCATTTGCTTTATCACTGCGAATCCAGGATAGGAAGTGAATGGAGTGATAGCATATAGGTACCGGAGCTCATGGTAGCTTCCCACCCTCCCTATAAGGTGGTCATGGTCTCTGGGCTTGGAGATCTGAATAAGAGACTCAGTTTCCCTTCCAGTTAATTCTCCTGCTCCAATATCCCCTGGGTTTCCCTAAGTCCCACTCAGAGCAGAGGTGGTAGGAATGCACATGGTGGAGAAACTGTTTATCCCTGTCCCTTAGCCCAGCAGGGAGGCAGGTGCGCCACACAGGAAGAGAGGCGTGATGAAAGCTCCTGTCTAATGAAGTATTAGCATGTTATTAACATCGGTGGTGGTGCTCATCTCTGCCCGATTGCAGCCACTCCGGCTAAATGAGAAGGGCTGTTACTTAACAGAGAGCCTGAAGGGAACTGGTAAGGGTGGGGTGGGGTGGGAGAGGCACCTTGAGTCAGGAATGAAGAGACAATGCCCTCAGCAGGGACAATGAACTCAAGTCCACAGTCATTTCTAATTGTGTCTTGTCCAGCGTACCAAGGGATCAGGGCAGGGGCAGGAGATGACCTTCTAAGGAAGAACTTGAAGTGATGTAGTTCTTCCTACAGTACATGAACTGTGATTATTTCCTGGGCTTTCTATTGCCTTCTCAAGTCTCAATGCAGCACTTGTGACCTTGGGATATTCAGAAAGGAGGCTGGCATCTAGGGGGGTGGTTTGCAACATCATGTGTTGCTGGGCAACACCAACAGAAGGGCTCAGTGGAGCACTTGTCCTACGTGAAGGTGGCTGACACTAGGTAAAGATGTAGTCAGAGAGATGTAGTGGGTGCTGTCCCTCAGACTCCTCCAAAAGTCATACTGACAGGATCCAGAGAGGAAGACACTAACTCATCAGATGTATAGGATGGAACCCAAGTTCTAGAGACCTCCACTTTAGAAGTATGGAAAGGACTCTGCTGCATGGGCTGACCCTCTTTGGGGGCTATTGATCCTCTGCAAGTGGAAGAGGGAAAGTCCACAGAAGATGAATAGCACTGATACTTCAGGCTGACTTCTGCCTCCTCAGTTTTCAGGTCTGGGCTGCTGGATGGGCATCAGGGTGCCTAGTTGTGTCCTGGAGCCTGGCCAGTCCTAGGAGTTATAGGACTGGGCTCTAGGCCTATGCTGCATTAAAACAAATAGCTGGGGAAAAGTGACTTGAAAAAGACCATCTAAAGGTGATGAGGTTCAGCTCTAGAGGATAAATCTAAACATCAGCTAGCTCTGCTGTAGGTAGAACTCTCGAGCAGGCCATTGCTGCCCGAGTCTCATCAATATTTACTGAGCCCCATTTCCTCAAGGTTCTGCATCCTGTTTTGAATACTGATGCTTGCCTTGTGACTTTAACCTCAAATAGAATACTCGCTATATACAGATGGTGAAGACAGTGGGGGCCACGGTGGAGATGCCTGGAGTATTGTCAGTAGTTAGAAAATCCTGTGGCCTCCAGGGAACACAAAGTTACTCTGGGCAGCTTTTGGAAAGGAGTTTGGGAAGGAAAAGATAATCTTATTAGGTGGGGTTGGAATGTTTCTTGTTCAGCTGGGTGCCATCTGCTTGTACCTCAAAACCCTACTGACCTTGTCCAACATATGTATTTTCTAGGCTAGCATTTGTCCATGTATAAGGACAAATGTCTCTCTTGTCCCACATCCTCATCTGCCAGCTTACAGGGCAGGGATCCTGTCTGACTCATCTAAGATCTTCAATATTGGATATATTGTCCAAGGAAGTAGCTGAATGCCACAATGCCTGGCTTAATGGTATATATTAACTTTTTCTCATTGGATTAGCATGGTATGGTATCCAGAAAACTTACTGGAAAAAATGGTACAAAGACAGATTAGAGGAGAGGAAAGTGAGAAGATGGGGAAGACCAGAGACTGGGATTGATTAGATACTCCTCTAGGAGGTAGACAATGGCTAGCTCATTTCCAGAAAACCTTTCTCCCTGATACAGGCCTGGGTGTGCAAGCCACTGGTCATTCCAGATGTGCCCTTCTACCCTTACTCACCAGTTGCTCTTCCAGGTATGGCGGACATGTGGGTCGTGGATGCCATGCTTATCAGCCTGCTCATCAAGGAAGTCGAACATGTACTTGATGGCTAGGGGCAAGGCAGAGCCACGGTGGGCTGTACTGAAGATGGTCTCGAACAGGTCATCCACAAACTTCTGCAGTGTGCCCTGGGGAAGGGGAGACATTCAGATCCAGCTCAGCCTAGGCAGTTCTGCAGAAGGGTTTGAAAAGCTACCTCTGGGACAGGGCAAGTGAGGTCAGTGCTCTGCCTCACTGCTAAACATGACACCAAAGTTGGGGAGTGACACTCTTTATCAGATCTTCTCCCATTTCACAGGTCTCTGACAGTTCTACCTTTCCTCTCTACACAGAACATAGATAGAGACAGATGACAAGGCAAAACCACCTCCCTCTGCCAGCCACAGGGTTTGGTTTCATATCTCTGCCAGTGCCGTTGTATCACTTTCCAAAAATGCTAATGAGATTTGTTCAGAGCTGACAAATATAATCTGTTGGTTCTGCTTGGCCACAACCCACCCTGGTCAATGACCATCTGGGTCCATAGAAGGACCAGAGAACCCAGACTCTTAAGAGAAAGGCTAGGATCGTAGGCACAGATCATCTCCAGTATCAGGATTAGAAATGGTGTCAGCAAAGCTACGGCTACAGCCCCAGTTTCTGTCCTTAGTGATGGTACATAGTACCCCTGAGAACAAGCTGTTCTTCTCTAAGGAACAGTGGGAGAATGAGAATGGATGTAGCAAGTGTCTATAGCTGAGAAGGGGTGCTGAGGAGGGTGGAGGTAAAACTTTAGATTGTGTGCTAACTCGTGTCTGCAGCGATCTGCCTGGAGTGACAGGTTGAGCAGGGTCCTGCAGCTCAGTTCTGAGGCATCCCTAGGCTTATGACATTGCCTGATAGGGGAGGACAACAAAAGGGCCTGGTGCACACTTAGCAACTGTGCTAGCAAGTATGTATATGCATGATGTGAGGGCATGCATGTGTGCATGTGTTTGTGCATGTGTGTGCATATGTGGAAGCCAGAGGGGAACCCCAAAGTGTCTTCCTTGATCCCTATCCACAGTTTTTGAGACAGGATTTTTGCTGAACCCGGAGCTTGCAACTTGGCTAAACTGGGCAGCCAGCAAACCCAAAGCAATCCCCTTTCTCAGCCTTCCCAGCACAAGCAAAGCACTGTGTACAGAATGTCTCTTTTAACGAAGGCTCCTGGCTTTCAAACCTGGGTTCTCATGCTTGCATAGCAAGGTCTTTACCAACTGAACTGTCTCCTCAGCCCTCAGCCCCAGTGTTTTCCTGGCAGATGAAGGACCTTTCTATGAAAACACACTCACTACACCCTGCTCTCAAGTCCCATACCTTTGTGGCCAGTAGTCGTGTCAGATAGATCTCAGACACCATTTTGCTCCCCCGATCCCCTTCCTTCTGGTCTCCATGCTCATGATTCTTCACCAGATGCCAAAGCTTGACCCCACTTTCCAGGTCAGGGGTGATCATGGGTGTTCGGGAACGGAGGCTGTCTGGGCTGCCTGTGTACCGGATCATGTTCTCTGCCAATGCGAAGAGTACAGCAGCCCAGTATGAGTGAGTCTCTATAGTCCTACCCCCAACAACTCACAGGACACCCCTCTCCCCAGCCAAGGCCACTATTGTCTCATCCTTCCTACCACAGGCTGGCACTGTTACTTCGCCTCAGTGTGGCACATTTCCCAAAATGCTTATGTCTTTCCTGCCACCTCCAGAAATTATCTGCAGCAAATTCTACCCACTCACACAGCCCCCACACTCTTGTACTTGGTATTGAGTCAGCCCTTAATTATTCAATTTGTAGAAACGTAAGCTTGTACTTCTTTTATGCTTTTCCTTGTGCATGCTCTCAAGTCCTGCAGTGTGTATCCAATTAAGTGTACGTGGAAGAGCAGGTAGACTTCCTGGATGAGCCTTGGCCAGGTGAGGCTCACCAGGCATCTGCTCGTCTCTGTCCTGCTCTGGCCCAGACCACTTCTAACTTACTTGACGAATCGCCTTCCTCTCTTTTGTGTGGTGGTAAAATGGGAACTGAACAGGCGAAGGATGATGTCCTGCTGTGCCCAGCTTGTGTGTTCACCTCTTTATCATCTACAATAAGTTTGTCTTTTTTTTTCTAACAAGAATCCACTGCTCATGGTGGTTATGTGTCCCCAAGCACATAAATAGTGGAAGAACATGGCATCTCTGGAGCTTTGGCATTATGTCCAGTATTCTTCCCCTCCTCGCCGTTCACTCCACTGCATGATAATAGTGTGAGCTTTACCAATCATTTAACCTCTGTGCTTCCGAGTTATAACCAACATAAATAATACAGGAAAATAATAATTAATTAATTCACTAGATTATTGTGAACTTGATGTGAGATGATGGGGGAGAGTAAGACTTTATAGACTGTATGAGCTCATGAAGGTTAGGTTCTATGTGTGTTTGTGTGTGTGTGTGTGTGTGTGTGTGTGTGTGTGTGTGCGCGCATGTATCCATGGTGAGCATACATATGTGTGTGCACATCTGCAGAGGCCAGAAGTCAACCTTGTGAGTCATTTCATAGGTGCATCCCCCATGATTTTTGAGATGGTTCCCTCACCATTAGGCTAAAATGGCTACCCAGTAAGCTTGAGGTACCCTCCTATTTCCCCTTCTCCAGAGCTGAGATTAGAAGCATACACCACCATGCCTGGCAGTTTTACATGAGCTCTGGAGATCAAACTTAGATCCTCAACTTTCACAGCAAGCCCTTTATCAGCTCAGCTATTCCAAGCCCTGTGTTTCTTTTGCCTGCAAATAAAGTTTATGCCCCAGAGGTAGTGATCAGAACCAATTACCTCTGTCCCATCCTGGCTGTCCTTCCCAATCAGCTGACTGATCCTCTACCCTAGTGAATGAGGTCTGTTGGCCACACCTGCTCAGGATACTCCTACCTTCCGCCCTTGACACCTGATGAGATCTTACCATATTTACTTGCTGAAGTCCTGGAGACTGTGGAGTTGTTCACTGCATTATAGGCTGTCACTTGCTTGGATACTAAAGCCACCACAGAACCATCCGGAACCTAATAGGATAAAGACTTCGAAGGGCTTGGGCACGAAAACTCTTCCCACTCATCCCAGGAAATAAGGACAAATTAGGATTATTTGGGGCAACAGGGGATAATTAGCACCTTGATGGGGACTTGGTATTTGGGGGCTTCTTTTTTCCCTTGATAACACAACACAAAGACCAGAGTACTAGCTATATTCTATCTTATAGCTTTGGTATGGAGCAATTTCTGGCAGTAGCCCCTCCCTCCCTTTTATCCTCCCTAAACATTCTGGGTATCATACTGCCTTAAATTCCCATGAGGCCTGCTAAGCAAACAACCTTGGGGAATCTGCCCACACCCTACAAGGATGCATGTCAGCATTCTATCTCCAATTAGGCTAGGGAGCTCTGACTGGGTGACATCAGCTCTCCCAGCGTCACCAAGAATAATGGATTGCTGGTGAAGAATGCATTGGGGGCTTGGTGTCTAACCCAGAGTGGCTGTAATTTAAAAACCTACAGGTTCCAAGGAAATGGCCATCTACTAGGCCAGCTCCTGGCTTCTGTGGTCAGCTCACCTGGTAGTGGGCTACTGTGTTGAGTCTCTTCCAGTCATTCTCGATCTTGGTGGTGATATCTTCATCCTGCAGGATCATCCTCGCCCCGCTTCCTTGTCTCCACTCTGCAGGGAGAGTGGTGGCAAATCAAAAAGGCCCTTGGGTCCTCCTTGGGAGCAGCCTGCATGCTTCATAAAGGTATCACATAGCACTATCTCCAGAACGCACTCACAGATAGACCAGAACAAACAAAAATCTCTCAAGAGCATCAGTTTGGATGTTCTCAAGGCAGAGAAGGCAGAGAGGGCAGAACACTAGTTCTTGTCCTAAGTCAACGAATTACATCAAAACAAAGTGTGTAAATAGCACCACTTGTTCTTCCCTGCACCTGTTTGCTGTGAGAGCTCAGAACATCAAGAAGCTACGCAGTGTACACAGGATGAATGAATGAACTAGAACTCTACAGGACACAAAGTGCTCAGCAAAGCATTGGCACCCATGGTAGCCCCACTCACTGGCTGTATCAGAAACTGCTGGAGCTGGTAAAATCTGTGCTGCAGCTTCACTCACTATAGCCCTTCATCTTTTTCCTGTGGTATGCCTTGCAGGGAAAGGTGAGTCCCCCTTGGAAGAGGACTAAGTAAAAAGTGTGTGGACCATTCTTATTCCCCCAAACTCCCCTCTCCACAAAACTAATGTGGATAATATCCATCTTAGAATCTAGACAACACTTATTATTTTAATATATTCAATATATATGTTAAGTGTATATGCATATACACTATATATACACATATGTATGTATGTATATTTATGTATATACACACGCATATATAAAATCCCTGCCTCCCTTCTTCCACTTCAACATATGCACCCCTGGGCCTTGCTGATGGAGCACACAGAGGGAAGGCACTAAGAGCTTACTGCTCATCAGCTGGAAACCTCTGCACTATTTAGCACAGATCATATGTGGAAGGAAAATGACACATTACAATCTTGAAATAAACACACGGAAGTATATGTACATATACATGCTCACACATATGTGTGTGCATACACATGGATACCAATCCCATGAGCACACACTGGAATGGAATAACAGCCTCTTAAAGTCCAGCATAATGTGTCCCAGGCACATAGCTGTTGCTCTGGTTCCCAGAAGCCCAGACAGTACTTCTTGGCTCGCAGCTGCTGGCACTCTTGAGTTGAGTAGAACACTGGGCTTGCTCAGAGTGCATGCAGATAGGTACAGCTTCCCTTGCATAGCACTGCCTGCCTGGCCTGCCAGAGGTTTTGTTCTGTTTTGTTTTGTTTTTCTCTATGGGCCCCAGAACCACATGTGCACATTCTCTGCTTTGTTTCCCTCCTGCCAGGGTTGGGCTGTGCCTCCCTTTCTGGCCCCATTTGAGGCACAAAAAGTTCCATTTCTTCTTACACTGTACGTGCTGTGGTTAGAACTGTTCATTTCACCAAACATGGGATCCAGGCTTAGAAGGGAAGTGTCTCACCCTGGGGAGGTACAGAGGGCTCTTGATATCCTAGCCCAGCCTTGCTTTACCAGGACATCCCTGCTAAGACTCAAAGGAATGTTTGCTAACTGGAGTGGAGAACTCACTGCAGATGCCTGTCTCTGAGGCCTGCAGATAATTCTGCTGGGATTGCTCATGGTGATTTGGGCCTGGGACAGGTAGGTGATGTGCTGGAGAGAAGGACTCTGTGAAGTACCTGATGGCCCATGTTTCCATCTGTCATTGGGTTGTGCTGTTCCCTTTTGCTTTGCTTTTTTAACTCCCTGCAGGTCTGCAAACTTTCAGGCTAGAGGAAGAGGAATCACTCCATTTTGGTCAAGCAGCTAATTCTCAGTACAGTGGACCCTGGTGAAGACCAGCGAGGCTGAGGAACATGGCAGTGGGCAGCTTCTGTTTGCATGGTGAATGACGTTTGGTGGAGTCAGAAGCTGTGTGGAGGGCACGGCAGACATCACAGGGGAAACTTCAAGGCATGCCAGGAAAGGTTCTACATTTAAGACTATCAGCTGGGCTGGGGAAGGTTCTCCTTGAGGTCCAGATCCCAGCCTTCTAGCTTGGTAGACATAGTGGCATTCATAGTAGGGCCACGGACATCTCAATGGCATCTAAACAGTGACAACAAACTGCTGATTCCAGGCCGATGTGTAGATGTGTAGCATTTCCATTGCAAAACTCCCCTTGAAGTTGTTCAATGCATAGCCTGTCCAGGCATACTCAGCAGCCATAGTTCTAAGTCTTGTCCAGTAATTATGTAAGCAAATGGGAGTCAGTTTCCATGCCCCCACTTTTAAAAGTAGGGCAGACAAAGGCCATGTCTACCCAGGGGCACAGAATGTCCTTGGAGTAAGAAATTGGTGATACTATATACCTAACCATCAGGGCTCACACAGTGCACAGGGCACAGGACTCCCTTGACAAATATTTATTCAATGAATGAATAGGTGAACAGACAGGCAAATGCAGAAAGGGCACCCGTGGCTTAGTAATGGCTGCCTGTTTCATACTCAGTACAAAGAGGACCTCACAGTTGTATATGTTGATCCCATGGCAGATGACAGTTGGAGGTAAGCTGTGAGCTGCTGCTAGCAACCTGAGAGAAAGGATTATGGGAACTGAGAAGTGCGACCTCATCTTTGATTATTGTCCCACATTCCACCGACATTACAACAGAGAAAATGAAAAAACAGGTCAGTTCAGGAAGCCAGACATAGACACCATTGTGCCAGGCCACTGTTCAGTGTACTGGCCAGCTGAGTTCACATCTAGGGAACTTCAGTCTTCCATTTAGGGTCACTTGATGTCCACAAAAGGAGTTCCTGTGCTCTTGGTGTGTTCAGGGCAGAGGATGTGTATGGATGCAGCTCAGGCACGGCCACCTAAGGCCGGCCATGTGAGTGTGAAGAATGAAAACACAGGGTTGAATTTGCACCCTCAACTGTGACCAGACCCACACTTGCATGTGGCTGGCCTACTAAAATCTCCCACTTGGAGCTTTGAAGGTCTGACAGACTGCCAGTGGGCTGCTTTCCTTGACTCTTGAGCCTCTGTTTCCACAGTGACCTTCCATATTGATGGGATGGCCACGTTTTCCCCACAGCTAGGATACTGGTTAAGGATGCTGGGCAGTGGGCAGGCAGGACTCACACTTACCACTGATGCCAGTGCTTGGTCACAGGCCCTAGTATTACAGGAAGATCCCTCTGGGATACTCAGTATTACACCCTCTAACCCAGGCCCATGCTTGGGCAAAGTTTATCTGTAGGTACCGGGAAGGCGATAGCTATTGTCTTTTAATCTCAAACAGTTAGGGATATCTCCTTAAACACCGACATAAGGACTGTGAGATGGACTCAGGGAGCACTTAGCCTTGCCTTCAGAGCCCTTAAGCCTGTTATTTTTGTTACTTCTTATACAGAAAAATTGCTATGTGCTTTTAACCTAAAGTATCAGAAAGGTTTAGAAAAAAATAAAGATATGTGCCATTCCAACCTACTGCTGATGAAAGAGAACCTGGGTGTTTGGGTGACTGCTACTGGCAATTTCATTCCTGGGACTGTAGCAAAGAAGAAAGGCCCTCCAATTGGCCACAGAGCTGATCTCTGCATGGAGGAGAGTGTGGGGTACAACTGGAAAGGACCCCTAAATATCTAGATAGACTCTCAGTAGATCAACAAGGAAACTGCTCCCCAACATTTATTCTCCTTGTCCAGCGTCCCCACATTACCTCCACTGGAGGGTTCAATTCCCATTCCATGTCCACACTGACCAACCTTTCACCCTGCCTTGGAACCTCCCAGAGGCTGGCTCTTGCTTCTTCCCATCCACATACTGTTCCATACATCCTATGCCCACCACATACAAAACCCAGTTTCTGAAGCCCCAGAGCTCCACTGTCAGTCATTTATCTGGATTCTCACTGCCCTCCTCAATCATTCATTTGCTTTTTTGATTTGTTTATTGGCTCTTCAACAAATCAATATTAAATGTTTCCTATGTCTTCAATAAGTAGACATAGGAAAAATCTGAGCATGGACTTAGGCTCAGCTTTCTGGATGCTCTTGTCCTATTTCACAGGCTTGCCCTGATAGAAGCGTGAGCCATTAAGCACTAGGAAGGAAAGCAGGCACTGAGGAGTAGGCAAAATCCAAAGTCAAAGCTGGTCTCCCTCCCTGTCCGATGAGCAGTCTGTGCTTCTGACCTACGTGTGAGTCCATAAACTCTTACCCATACTCGGAGTGACAAGCTAAGCTGAACTTAGGAGGTATGGTAGGCTTGCCATCTAAAGATATGAGACGCAGTGCCCAGGGCCCCGTGCTACATACACCACTGTCTGTTGCCTCAGAAAGCCCCTGGAAGGGTCCGCCCCTTATTTTGTGTGCTGTATTGTTGCATGTTCAATGTCAGATTTTTTTTTTTTTTTAAGCAGCAAAGGAATAAAGAGTTCAGGTCTCCAAATTCCGGGTTCTATGCTTTCTGCAGCAGATGAATGTCCACCATAACCTGTGAAAACTAGTACTAAAAACACTCTTGGCCTGATGACATGGCTTGTCAGGTAAGATGCTTGCCGCCAAACCTAGCAACCTGAGTTCAATCCCCAGGAAACATATTGTGGAAAGAGAGAACTAACTCTTTTAACTTGTCTTTTATCTTCCATATGTGTGATACAGAACCCATGTGTTTCCATAACCCGCCATACGTACATAAAATAAATTAGCTAAAATGTTTAATAAAATTTAAAAATAAAAACCTTCTCTTTGTGTCCCTGTCTTGCTTTGTATGAGGTGACCACAGCAGGATAGCCAAGGGGCAATGCAACAAGTCAGCCAATGGCAGTGCTCTGGGTAGATGCTGAGACAGATGGGTTGCTCTTAGAGTCCAGGGAGGGGAAAAACTCCTCTGGGTACTGAACATACCTCTGGGTACTTGAGCATACGCCAAGCTCCAACTAAAACATGAACCTTGGGTCTGGGTAACTCTTGACAATACCTTCTGCAGATGAGGACACCGACCATATCATCTGGAAAAGGAACCTGCTATGATTATCATGCTGAAAGGCAGACCATGAAAAGTCTCAGAGCTCCACTCTGATCAAACTA